CTCTATCTTGCTCAAGTTATTGAATATATTGTCATTATCATCTCTTAAAGCTTATTATACTTGGTTCCGATTAACCCATTATTTACAAATATTGATTGTTCTTGAGCTTAAAGCATCCCTTAAAACTTTTAGCTAAACAATTATCAATGTATATTGGTTAATCAATCACTAACATTACTTACATGCATATTATTAATACACTTATACTTCATAATTATCAATCTACAAGCTAACTATCACTAATACACTTTTAATTAGTATATTATCAATGCGTATGATAATAAATTGCTAACGTTACTTAAAGACGACACCGTTAATATATACTCTTCTGCTTACAGTAATTATCAATTTATAAGATAAACTATCACTAATATTTCTTACGAAAATGACTATACACTTCTTCTTAGTGTGTAATTATTAATGTATAGGTTAATCAATGCATTTAAGGACACAACAAATTCACTTTTACTCTGTGTAATTATAGATTGATAAGCTAAGTATCACTAATATAGTTTTAAATAGTGTAATTATCATGAATACAATTCCACTTAGAGTAATTTTCAATAAATAGGCTAATCAACCACTAAGATAATTAAGTAAACACTTACCAATGGACTTACTGACGCCTTCATCGCTATTGTGTAATAAAAAATACAGAATAATAATGTATAAGATTATATATTTAAATTACCGATGGAAGTCCATCGGTACTGTAAGAATAAAATTCAAAATATTATGGAAATGCAATAGCGATTGAGTGCGTCAATAACTTTATTTTCTTTTTCACTTCATTTAAATAAACTGAGTGAAACCGTTGGTATGTACAAAAATAATTCAAAAATATAAATACAAAATATTGCGAGAGAGTGCGTCAGTAATTCACCGATAGAGTGCATCGGTACAACCAACTAACTTTTGACCGGTTAAAGTATCATTATTTATCGAGAGTTGTCTGTCGGTTATTGCGACGGAAAAAAGTTTGCTCGTACTGCTGCTGTATTGGGAAAATTGAGTTTACATATTGAAGATGACGTGTCATGATACGTAGATTGGTCAAACAGTCAAATAATTAAAGTTAGCCAAGAGACACGAGCAACAACAGATGCGAGCAAAGGTAGCGGAAGAGGCACGGTCAGTTATTCAAGTGATACAGTGCCCGTATCTATTCAAGACATTTAAAGCTCAAAGATATTCAAGAATAATCAAGGGAATGATTCTGACAGTTTGTGAAAGTCCAAATGCAACATTTAATGCGCATTAAATACTGAAAATGTTAGAGAATATTTATTTAATGTAATGATTGTGTAACGTTTCATTTAATATCATTAATTGCTCATAATAGCCATATTATGGCAAAGGTAAGGCACATATCTCTAGAATTATTATAAAAGGAGAATATTGAACACTTGTAAGCCATGAAACACTATTGGATTATACTTTGATTTACTTGTTTTCTGAATATATTACTCTGAAATCTCTTTCTTTATTCATTACTCTGATTATCAATAACCCGTATTCTTCTAAATTCTAATTTTTACTAAAAAACTATTTTTTGGTTAAACAGCTGCGTCGCTAAAACCAAATGTAGTTCTGTCAAAGAATCAACCAGTATTGGGGAGGTGTTTTGTATAGTTATTCCACAAAATACTAGTACTTGATCCGAAGTGTCGTGCACTATTCTGGCAGAAGTTCCTGCACTATTTACTTCTCTGATATGTTTGTTTGCATTTATCTCAAAGGTCTGCTGAAGTTTCTTGGCACCTATGAGTAAAAATACTGGTAGTCCTAAAATTAACTAAAAGTGAACATTCCAAGCGTAATGTGATTTTTGACTTACGAACCTATAACAACACAACCTCTCGTTTTGAGCCTTTATGCAAGTCAATATTACTATTTGGAGCTTGTTGGGATGGTTTGGGCTGGGACCCGAGGGGCTAGGACGGGTCTCGTCACATTTTGGAACCATATTGCAGCTGCAGTTTTCTTCTATTAGCTGGTGCACTGCAATTAACCACTTTTATAAGATTGTTTTCTTTCTACTACCAATACAACTTTATCTTCATCCCTAGCTTGTCATACTGTGATGAAGGGGACAGAGTAGATGGTGGCATAAGATTCTTCGTTAGCTTCGTGTAGTAGAGAACAGAAGCTCAAATCAATTATATATTCTCAATATCTGCTTCTCCTCTTAAACGCTCTATGCCCATATTATACTGGACCGGTTCCTGTGCAGCAAAATAGTAGTAGTTATTTTTTATTGACTTGGTAAACAATGACTATTTTTCATTGACTAGTGTAAAAACTGGCTATACCATGATATTTTAACTGTATTGGAAGTGGAACCATATTGCAGCTGTAGTTTTATCAAAGAATCTAAATGAAAGAATTTATGCCATACATGGGGAAGAATGGGGATCGATTTTGTGGTCCATTACAAATATAATTTTCGTTATATGGCCATTGTCATAAAGATCATTAACAAAAATATATCATTAAATAAAACACAGAAGTCCTTTTTTAGGATCAATTCTTCTATTTAAATTGTAAATGATCGTGGGATATCATTTCCTCAGGAAGAACATAGTAGAAAGAAGAAATTTTTTAACCCATTTATGTTACATAATAATAAAATAGAGAAGTGAAAGTCCATCAGCATAAATTAGCCTTATGATTTTCAAGAAAAGAATCTAGCAAGCAAAATATATAAACCCAAAACTGAATTACAAATTAAATGTTAGAGGGAAAAAAACTAGAATAATCCAAACAATCATATACGTGGTTCAACTGAAAAAGGAAAAAAACGACCAAGAGAATTCACTTTTAGCTTTAAAAAAGCTAGAAGGAAATTTGCTTCCATATGTACAGATTTGGAATTCTTCTACGAGGCAATAATTGTGACAAAAAGCCTTTAGGTCAATCAGCTGATGGTTCCTCCCATTTTGTATGCACTGTTATTGAGTGGATTCCTTACCTCCACGTTTGTAGTTTTCAATTTTAGTGTTGATAATCTTGAGATTCTGCACAAAAATAAGAACAATATGAAAAAAATAATATCTACTACTTGTTGGAGGAAAATGGAATCTATGAATCCGAGATGAAGACATAAACTCACAATGTGAACGAGGTAAGAGAGTGCCACGGACGTATACAACAACAACAACATACCAAGTATAATCCCACATAGTATATACGCAGACCTTATCCCTACCTTGTGGAAGTAGAGAGGTTGTTTCCAACAGACAGAGTGCCACGGACAATGTTTAATAAATATAATTGGAGTCTGTTTCAGGGGAAGCTCGTGCAAACTAAAGATTAAGAGGAGAGATAAGGTAAATACTCATTTCTAGGTGCATGTAACTGGATAGATAAGTAAAGCTGCAAAGAAGAAAAGTAGATCAATTTATTTAGCTACCTGAACCCAATCTTCAAGGGTTCGAATGTGCTGCACTGCTAGATCCAGTATGTCAGTGATGCTCGTTTGCTGCAAAAAAAAAATTAACAAGATAATAAAATTTGCATGTTTCGAGAGATGTCAACTGAGAAAATACTGTGAAGAGGAACTAGAAAAACAAGCATACAATCAAGACTAATGAAAGATAGCTTCCTTTTTCTTCTCATATAAAATTTGCACATTTTTAAAAAACAGATAGTTGAACAGCATATTAGCAAAGCCCAGTAACTAAGAATTTCTGGAATCCGAAACTGGAAAAAGAACCAGGTGTCTTGTTTCCAATTCTTTTTCTTAATTAGTCAACCATAGGTGATGACAGTTTTGGAAAATTACAAGGAAGCATAGCTTGCTTGTTAGGCTTTATAGACCGTTAGGCGATTCTGTGAAGCACTGGATCAAGATCAAGATCTCCATTACATCGTACCATATCCAATTATATAAGACTCTTGGAATCACCATTTGTGCAGTTCCACTCTTGGAATCTAAGCAAACATGATTACAGAGTTATAGTATATGAAGCACTTCATAAATAGTTATAATCGCAGAGTTATACTTTATAAAACTTAATGACACTCCTTCCCCCTCCAACACCATAAAGACATTTCTCATGACACTGTTCTTTCCAGAAGAAGTTAACATGAAAAGAAATAAATAAATCTATCCTCGGTAAAATAAACCGACAGAATCCGTCGGTAATTACCTATGGGTCCCATCAGAAAGCCATTGTTTAAGTTCATACTTGTCTTAGAGTTGAATTTGTGGATTTTTAGTGATTTTGATGTTTAAGTTAGTGTTCTTAAGGTCCGAGCAAGTTTGAATGAAGTATTAGGTTGAGTTTGTGCCTTTGGATGAGGTCCCAGGGGCCTCAGGGTTATTTCGGGTGGTTAACAAATGATTTTTGGACTTGGGATGCTACAGATTTGCCTTCAGCTGTTGCAGAGAGTTTAACTCTATGCGATCGCAGGGGTCCTGTGCGATCGCTAAGGTAAATTGGAGATGTGGTCGGTGAAGCTATGCGAACGCGGAGGGTGTGTGCGTTTGCATTGAAGGAAAACTGGAGGTCCAGGAGATGTGCTATGCGAACGCGGGGCGGGCATGCGTTCGCATTGAAGGATTTTGGAGGGCTCTGGAGATGAGATATGCGAACGCACAACGGAGTCGAAACGTGTCAACAAACTACGTGTTCACTGGTTGTAATGTGGTTCGAGATAACTTTTCACAACGTTGCAAGTCTCTAAAAAATAATAATAATAAAAACGGTTTTAATGTTAATAAAAACACATAAGTTATAACATGTATTAAAATCAAATGTTTAGCCATTACAACAATTTAAGCGACCGTGCTAGAACCACGGGATTCGGGGGTGCCTAACCTTCCCTCAGGTCAACAGAATTCCTTAGTTAGAATTTCTAGTTCGCAGAAATCATTTGGAAAGTCGAACATTTTCCTCGAATTGGGATTAAAAATAAACCGGTGACATGGGACACCAAAAGCCGAACCTTTCCCAAGTGGCGACTCTGAAATTAAATAAATAATCCCATTTCGAATATTGTCACTTAAATTGAAAATACTCTCTTATGCGTTTATCCTTCGGGGTGGTGCGCGCAAAAAGGAGGTGTGACAGGTGTGCGAACGCAGTGTATTTTGGAGGTAGGGAATGTTTGCTCTATGCGAACGCACTGAAGGAGTGCAAACGCATAGAAGAGCGGGCCTGGGCAGAGAAGTTTAATTAAACATTTCATCCGAGAGCAAGGGTTATTTTTCCTCCATTTTTAAGATACCTTGAGAGCTAAATGACGGATTTTGAAGGGGATTTCATCGGGAGATCATTGGAGGTAGGTCTCGTGGTCCTAATACGCATTTTTATTGAAGAATTAAGCCTAAAATCTCTTAAATTAGGTAAAATTAATGAAGAACTAGGGCTTGAGTTTTGAACTTTAAAATGATGATTTGGATGAGCAATTGGACTCCGATTTCGATAAATTTTATATGTATGGACTCATGGCGAGACGAGGGTCCTTTTACTCGCGAAATCATTTTCATCCTCATCTGAATCGGCACTATCTTCATTGTCATATGAATATGTATTCATCGGTATCTTCATCTGAATCTATAATGTCAATTGAATCAGCATATACTCATATGAATATGTATCATATGTATCTTCATCTGCATCTTTATCATCTTTATCCTCATCCGAATCTACATCATTTTTAACGTCATCTGATTCTGCATAATCTTTAACCTTATCAAGCCAAAGAGCAAGGCAGAACTGTCCCACATTGTCAGCCATGAACTGAATTCGAGTCTCCAGACCTTCCAGCTTCTCGTGGTCGATGTAACTATTTATCTCCGTGGCATATAAGTATCTCAAAAATCACATTTTCTTTTGAATGATTTTCACTTGCTTTAAAAATAGCTTAAGCTGAAGGATTCGTTTATTCGTCCACTCAATATCCAATTCCAAGTACATTTGTATATCATTTAGATTCTTGTCGAGGTAATCCATATATTCTGATAGATGGGAATGATTCAACTCAAAATTGTACCTTATGTTGGTATTACCTTCAATGAATTCCAGTAACTGTGAAACTAGCATTTCATCAATCAGTTGGGCCTTCTTTGCGATTTTGATAAAGGAATCAGGCAAAAGAAGATGATGGTATTTGAGAAAAGTACTCAAAAATCGTAGATCAATTTCAAGTGTCTTAATTTTGATGCTGTTCAGATCATGACCTCTGCTCTTGATCCTTGTTAGGTTATCTAACATATCCTCAATATCATTTTGAGTCATCTTCAGTTGAAACTTCCTGCAAGTTCACCAACTCTTGTAATATTTGTCTCACTAATAATAACATTTTTTAAAATGTAATATTAGCTCCGTTTCAAGTGTCTTAATCCATCCAATGTCATTTTATTTATTTTTTCTAGTTTAAAATCCTTGAAGTTCAGTTTTCTATTTAATCATATGGAAGTTAGACAAAATAATGTTTTTCTTAAACTCAATGATCAATCAAACACTATCACATAAATTGGGGATGGAGAGGGTAGTAGTTATTAAGACCAAAGCTAAATGGATTCATGTAGCTCTTCTGGCAATATAAGAATAACTAGACTTGTAGAATGCAAAATGAAACCAATTTAGCACTACTAAAAAAATTGGAATTAAGTACGAACTTCATTGCTAATCTGTCGCTAAATCTCTCGTAACTAACATAGTTTTTTGATAATCCATTGCTGTATAGGATTACTGATGAATTTTCTGTTTAACTACAAAATTTGTCCGTCCCTAATTCCTGTTTTTAGTAGTGTAGAGATTTGGAAAAGAAGATAAGTTAACACAAGTTCAGTTGAAGTCTTACAATCAATCAAGCGTGAATTTGGCTTCTTTTGTAACTCCAATTTCTGATACAATATATCCTAAGAGGAAGCACAAGAGATAGAACATTAAAATTATAAGATTGAGGATCAGTAAATAAAAGAAATCACAGAAATGATCAGTAAATCAGAATTTTCTTAGAAAACGTTTATTGAAATACCTGTAAAAAGTAAAAGTTGTAGGAGAAAACTATCTAATGAAGAAGCTCGGTAGTCCGATAGGAGGAAGATATATGTTACGTTCCGTAGTGGATGAATAAATATCATAAAGGAATGTGAAAATAAAGTATGGTCCAAATTTATTTATATTATTAAATTATTCTTACTATAATAGTAATACTTTTTCAGAATATACTAAAAAAAATGAGCCACTAAAGTCTAAAGGAATAACCTTTTGGTTCTTTAGACGGGCAATAATGGAGTCCCAAATATATATAATTTCTCCTTTATCCATGTGATATGCAGAATCTATGAAAGTGAAACAGTAAATATATTTTAAGGGAAAGAGAAGAAAGTTGTTGAGGATGTGCAGAATCCAATTAGCTTCCAATTTTCAATTATAATGGGCACCAGCTGGCTCTTCACTACAAATTGCATGTAGTGCTGCATCTGCATGCCATTTTTCTTACTTTTTAGTACGTAAGTAATTAACAGGAATGTAGGTAAATGGAGAGAATAATTGTAAAACTTAAAAAAAGTAAAAAAAAAATAAAAAATCAATGAAAATGATATTTGCAAATTAAAGTTGTATTTGGAAATGAATAAAATTTTGAGTTATATTTTAATTTTTGTGAGTGATCGGAGTGAATTTAGTAAAACAACTTTTTAGAGTTTTTAAAATTTTTGAAAAATTCTAAAATTCATCTTCAAATGAAAAGTGAAAATTTAATAGTCAAACACTTATTTAGAAAAAAGTAGAAATTTAAAAAAAAAAAAAAAATTTAAGTCCAAACTAGCTCTTAATATGTGACCAAAGTAAAAAATTATTTTTGAGCGCAGAAGTAGTTTTTCTGCTTTTGGGGATGTAGACGTGTGATTTTTTACTCTTCCCGAGATTTTTTATATTTTGGCGTAAAATATTTAATTTAGCCTTAATAGAGCTATTTGAGCTAATTTTGGTTTTTTAACTTTATTTCGCCACAAAATGAAAAATTACAAAAAAAGAATATATATAAATTTTAGTTCATGTACTTATAAGCTTAAAAATATAAAAAAATAGTATTTTATATTTTATCCTTATATAAAAACGAAAATTACCAAAAAATAGTTTTATTAACGTTTTGTAGTTATTTTAAATCTTGAAAAATAACAAAAAAATAGTTTTATTTTAATTGTTAATCTTATTTTGTAATTTTTTGCTTACATAGGATTAATTAAATAATATTGTATTTTTTTCGGTTTCGATAAAAAAATAACATTTAGATTCAAAGGATCTATTTTTAAACTTAATTTTTAGATCTAGCGCATAACAATCCGAGTTCACCACACGAATTGGAATATTTTGGAAGACATGATAGAACACATTAACCCCTAACCCACGATTTGGGACCCCCATTTTTGCACGCCTGAATACTTGATTCCCTACAATAATACACATATTTATTCCCTACAATAATAGAGAAGAGATATAATAAAAAGAAAGGACTTCATCTTCCTCAAGCTAGATACAACGATCCTAAAAGGAGACGATCTCCATTGGAGAACAACCAAACGACCAGCAGTCCCCGTCATCACCCCGTCGCCATCTTCGACGGCGACCAGTAGTCCCTCACGACGTGAACCAGCTCCGTCGTCCCCTCCCCCCACAGAAAACGACCCCCGTTCCCCATTAACAACTCACTGGCGACCACTCTCAAACCACCAAACCTCCAACGTCAACTTCACCTTCCTCGTCTCCTAACGACCAAAGCAGCTGCTGCCCGTCTCCGTCCAGCCCGACGTCCAGTAAGTTACATCTCCAAAACAGTCCAACACCACGATGAGCAGCAGCGAAACCCCAGCCCCACCTGCTTCCAACTGCTGCTGTGTTCTTCACCTGACCGTCGACCAACTTTTAAATTTCGAGCAGCTTCACTTGGTCGTCTTCTTCCTCGTTCCAAGCTGACCCAACTGTTAGAACATGCGCAGCGGAAGCAAGCATACAATTCAGGCATCAAATATATATAGACTAGACAACGCAATAAAACGAGATTAGAAGCACTAACCTCTTGAAGTAGTTGCACAAACCTTCCAAGCTGCAAGAATCAAGGGCTGCAGTCTTCTGCTATTTTCCTAGTAAAACCTTAGACGTTTTTTGCTATTGGGTGGGCAAGAACAATACAACTAAAAGGTGAGTAATTAAGTGAAACTAGTCTTCCTTTAATAGAGAAATTTTGGACGAAAAAATCCTCTCCAAAAACGTGTAGGATTCTTCTTCTCCAAGTAGAATCCTACTCCAACTCTATTAGATGACTTTTCTCCCAAGTTACTTTTTACCCAAGTTTGTCNGTCCAGGTTTTTATTAGGTATAGCAGGGACCACAGAAATAATAAGAGGCTACTAATTATAGTATTAATTTGAAATTAGCATGAATTAATTCTTACTATAATTAATTGCAATTTATTCCACTAAAAAACTGCAATTGAACTCCTCAATATGAATTTCGAAAATTTATTAACACTTATTTTAACTCCCCATGTTAAGATTTCAAATACCAGTTAATTAAATTAAACTACTGAAAATTTAATTCAATTAACTAATTAAATCCTTTATAATTCCGC